CAGCAGGAAGCTTTTGTTTTGGCTGACTAAAAGCTGTTCCTCTGGTTACTAAGCAGATACTTGGGTCTGGCTCCAACACCCAAGAAAGGCACTCATTTACCAGTAGTTAATGTCTGGTGTATGAACAAATGAACAAATGTCCTCCATGATGTTCAAGGTATTCACAGGTACTTTTTGACAAAAAAACCTAAAATAATGGTATAGTAATATAGTGAAGGACAATTGCACATTTCTTGATGGCATGGATATCAAGGCTTTTATTTAAGCAGTGTTCAGGAAGGGAAGGGTTGCTTTTTTTTAATATATATACTGCCATTTAATAGCTGTAAATACACCTGTAGGTTCTGAAGTTTAAGCAAGGCCTCTAGAAGATTAACTATAGCCCAAGGCTTCACTGAAATTATATGCATATTGTATACACCAGTGATGTTGAATTGCAGCTGTGATTTTCAACAGAACTGACAGTTATTTAATTCAAGTTTCCTTTGTGGTATTAAACACATAATAAAGAATTACTAGATGAGTGTTCACTAGCTAATATACATGTACTGCACATACACAGAGAGACATACTGCATCTCAAAATGTATTTTGAAAATATTTCAGATCTTTCATACCATTTAACATAGCTATCTTGGTACTGCATAAAAATACCTCAGCAGCTAGATGCCAATGCCTACACAAAAGCTCCAAGTCTCATTCCACTTTCCAAATACAAACTCTAGTCTACTTTTAAACAAAATTCTCTGCACTGATACCCTTGATCTAAGGACCTCCTGTGAAACAATGCTACTGTCAATAAGAGCAAAAAACAGTCAATTGTAGCCAGAACTGAAGAGACAAGATGGAATTTTTGTTCTCTGCAGTACAGATAGCTGAACTTACTGCTTATCAGAATGGAAGTTTTCCTGGGAAGCCCATGTTAAGTGAAGCAAATCCCACAAGACTCAAAAGGTGAAGCGTGTTCATGCTTACCAGCATATTCAAGAGAACTTGCACATCAGCTGGTCCCACTAAAAGCTTCAGCTAGCATGCTATGGCCGTACTTTCCACAACAGCTTTTACTCACTCTTATTCAAGCGTCCTTTCAGAAAATCAGCTGTTACGCCAACAATTTGTTGAGTTCAACATAAGCATAAGTATTTCCACCTTCCATTTTTCCCCAGCCTCTACACATTCCAATATCCATTTTAAAAAGTTACAGGAACAACTTTCATGATACTATCTCAGACCTTTGTTTTCATTCATGTTATAGAGGCTGAACTTCTGCATGCTTCAGCTGAAAAGTGAAAGGTAATTTTTCAGCTGCTTTCAATCTGGTTCTTCTGGTGAAGAAGGTTAACTAAGCTCTGCTATACTATTCTCCTCTTCCTATAGAGGAAGATTTTTAATCTCTTGAGTGAACAAGGTGGCAAAATCATTTTACACAAAAAAATAGTTTTGTACACATGTTTACATTTTCAGCACCATCTGCTCTCTTATATGACTTTTTGCTTTAAACTAAATTACTGAAATATTTCTTAGGTCTGCACTGCTGCAGAGAAATTCTGAGATTTGCAATAATTTGCTGCATGCAAGTTGTTTTATTCCATGCCCATATACATTTAGTCAGTTTTCTCAAAGCAAATACAAACATATTCTAATTTTCATCCAATTTTAATTTTTTATAATTAAAAGTAATATCTTATTTAGGAGAACTTGTCTTTCAGTAAAACTCAAAATCTGAAGTGATTTTCTAGAAAGATTAAAATGTCCAAACAAATTGGAAAACTTGAATGACTTCACAGGGAAGCAGACACAAGTGAGAATTATAGTACAATGTAAATGGAGGGATTTGTGCCTGTGGAGCTTGAGGTAAGTTACAACACCACAGAAAAACTGACAAATATTAATGATTAATGACATTTAAGTTGAATGCTTTCACCATATACAACCAATTTTATTTCCTTACTTTTTTTTAATACCACATTAAGAAGGTAAAGATCAGACAGGACCATCATCATAGTGCAAAAAATCGAAGTCTGATGCAATTCAAAGCAGGAACTCAGCAAGGAAATAAACTTTTTTTATTAACTAGACAATGTTTCTACTTTAACTAGACAAGCCTGCAGGGGAAAACTTTACTTAAATATTTGTGCATCTTCAAGGGCCAAAGTCACACCACAAAAGCTATGAAGGATAGCTATCTTAATTTGCCTTTCCCTCATTGTTTCCCCCGTGAAAGATTGTAACAAATTCCATTCATTCCATAGAGGTATTGGCACTATGCACTGGAAGAGAACTTTGCAATAAAGGAAAAAGGGAAGAGGCAAGAAGGGAAAACGCATCTCACTGGGTCCCAGAGGACTTGCACTGCAGCATCATCAGCCATGCCTGACCTGTGAATGGTCAGATACCCAACAGATAACAATTTTTCCCATAGCCATAATAATAATGGTTTTTTTCTTTCTAAATGAAGTAACATATCTCATGGCAATGAAAATATTTTTTAAAAAGTTCCGCAGTAAAGACATTTTTCACACTGAATGTTTACAATGCTACAAAGACCAAGCTACCCCTCTCCCCTGAACCCATATAGTAACAGAGTAGTAGAAGTGACTTTAAGAGTGCCTGAGAGCCTGTACTCACCTGAGCCTGCTCACCTCCCCAAATACTTTCTCTTTAGAAATTAAAATAAAAGCATGGATAGGGCTTTTGTTTCTTTTATCAGCTAGAAACAACCTGTATTCTGACCATATAAAAGCAAAAAGCATTGGCTTTGATTTGACCTCTGATTTTGGTAACTATTTATCTACTGGTCTTGAGCAACCAAGAGGAAGGAACTGCAGAGAAATGAGAAATTTCCAAATGAATCATCTTTGCCAGGCAATGAATTTCATTTTTAAAAGAAAGAAAAAAATTAAAATTTACTGAAGCACAGGATAGAGAAATAGTGAAGTATGTTTCCTTTCAGCAGCCAGAAAACATTACTGATTTATTTTTTTTAGCATATAAATTATATCACTAGGTCAATCTCCATAGATCATGAACTCTGGCTTGCTTCTACTTCCATGAACCCAAGCAGAATACTTACTAATTTCAGAGCTGCCAAAGCACATTTTACAAAATCCTAGCAAATGATTATTTTATTGTTGAACAAAATATTAAATTAGCACAAAAATGATCAATCGCTGAATTGTAAATAATCCTTCAGGAGATCTGTATTATATCATCCCTCTCAAACCACTAAAGACTTCTGACTTCCCAAAGCAAACCTTGGACTGGTATCAAAATTGACTTTTTTTTAAACTATGCATATATGAAAGCAAAATTAGGACAAAAAGGATCTTGTGAAAATCAGGATTAGCAAAAACATTTCCCACATCTATTTAACACAAACTTGTCACAAGAACATAATTGCAAACAAAAATGTAATTTACCTATAACTACATCATGGCCATCAACCAGTCCTGCAGAGAACAGCTCCTGAGAAACGCCATCTGCTGTGTCTGTCCAAAAGGTGAAACAAATAAGTATGAGAGCCCACAAAAGCAACAAAAAGTATCAGTCATCCAATGCAATGTAATAAAAATATATTTTAGTTCCAAAACACCCATGGAGACAGGCTTGAATTCCAAATTATCTTTAATTAGGAGGAAAAAAGATAATTATCAGCCTCTGCACAGCAAATCGCATTATTCACTGCAAACCCCCTGCAGACCGTTCTTGGCCACTAGCATTTCTCCTCTATTATCTAACAACATACTTGTACATAGCTTACAAGTTTGTTATCTTCATAACCAAGAAAATAGAAGTTGTGGTGCTGTTTTCCTTGTTTTCTTTATGCCCTCCAATTGTTCTGTATTTCTAAACAGAGAGACGTTATATAGGCTTTTTGGTTTGTTACCAATGGGGCAAAGGAGCTACATGAACAGACATTATCTTGAGCTTTAGGCTTGATTTAGCTTTTAATTTCTGTGACCCACAAAATTCAGAGCTTTGGATCAATTTTGCATCAACTGCTGTACCCAAGTGGGTTAATTCCTAAGTCCCTGTGACTAGCGGGTACTACTGCATAAAGACTTCAGAAAGCTCAGAAGTAGGAAGAAATAGCAGGAACAAGCCTAAATTCCAGCTAAGTTTCAACTGTAATACGGCCTCAACACCAAGTATCTGCATAGTGTACATGCTTTCAGGCAGTTACACAGCTGCATCATCTCAAGAAACACACACAGATGAAAAACAAAAGCTGAACTAGCTGCAATTTCTGGAGAGCTCTAAAGGTGAGAATCATAGCCACCTTCAGGCTGTCTCAAGTGACTGACTACTAGGAACAGTCCTGATCTACTTTACTATGTTGCATCCTCTATTCTTTCACCAAGTAAGAACTCTCAAATGGCTTCTGTAACTGCTTAGAAAGTATTTAAGTAGTTATTTTGACAGGTGACTAAGCCAGGATGTTCTGTGCTCAATTAAGTAAGAGATTTTTTTTTTTATTACCCATTGCCAAAATCAATGAGAAATCCAGGTAGACAGAGAGTATATCCATTCACAGAACTACTACACATTAAAGTTACTATGATTTACAGGAAGAGGAACACCTCTTCCAATCAGGATTAATTTTTATGTGGAAGCTCTGTGAAGGCTGTTATAAAGGCTATTATAAATGTGGTGAATACTGACTTCTGAGAAAGATGAAATGTGTTCACGGTTCAAAGGGTTGCTATTTAACAAGGATGATATCTACTTACTCAATACATCAGGCTATTCTGCATTTTATCCCAGTAATACTTGGTCAGTTTTTTGAGTTTTTATAACACTCAGCACTGGAAAACCAACAGTTCTACAAGCACGCAGTAGATTTTAATGTTTCAATGCCAAAATTTCTTTTTCTCGTGATGATACCACATCTGGAGAAGCAATCTAACTTTCAGCTGAAGACAGCACTTGAAAAATGGTGTGCACTTCGTATTTGTTAACTGAACTTATTTTATTACAAAGGGGGAACAAACTCAATTACCACCATCACAACATACACCTTTATAGATACTATTTTCCATTTCCTATGATGTTTTCCAAATGTGACAATGGAAATTCAAGTCATAAATATTGCTATGCAAAATAGTATATACCACTGCATAGACCATTTTAACAAGACATTAAATTAATAAAGCACTCTGTGTATCTTAATCAAGTTTTTCCAAAATATACTATAAATTATGCAACCCTGCCACTAGAATTTACATACATCTGTTATTCTTGTTCAAGTGAAGTTCAATATAAAGCTTGGCACAGTAGGAAACATTTCAAAGAGATAGTCTGTATTAACAATAAGCAGTAATCAATTTCTGAAATATCTTTTTGAGGAATAATACAAATAATCCAATTTAAGGATTCTTACCTCTGCCTGGAGTAAACTCAAACCGTATGTCATTAAGCTCTTTCCTGGAGTTCCTGAAAAACATTCCATGTATACATTAAAATGTAACAAAGAACAGAACAATTATTCAGTTCCCACACCCAAAGATGATCTATTGCATTGACAGCTGCATTTCCTCAACTTGAAAAACGCTGCTCTCCCAAAGCACCCAGACTGGAGAGACTCCACTGCATGTTTATGACAGTATTTTGGGGAAAACTAACAGACAGATATGCCTAAGCTGAAAAATGCCTTCAGTAACCTAAAGGTCCTCTGATAAATATTTTCCTTTTCATCTACAAAAGCCACTCTGCCATACTGACTCTACTAGTTCAAAATAGTCTGAATCATATGTGTATTACCCCTTCTACTCCAAGAGTAACAAAATGCTCACTTGAAGCTCCCTATCTCAGATCTCATGTATACAAAGAAGCTAATTTAAGAGACAAAGCAGCAAATCTTAAACACCTAAAAGCAGTGTTTGATGCACTGTTTATAAAGTTGTCGCAAAGTGAGAAACTTCTTCCACTCAACACCATTGTCTTAGCAGTCATGTTCTATCTAGACATAAAAGAAGCAGCAGAAGGTAAAGCTAAAAGTTTTCTGCCTTCCCATTTGCCACAGAGTGCTTTAACCAGTTCAATGTAGGACATGGTCATAAGGGACTTAATACCTATGATAAAGAATTCCTTTAGTCTCACGCAGTGCTCCAAATCTCCTCTCCTTGCATTTTCCCAGCTTCAGTTTTAGTTAATAATTTCTACCACAAATAAAACATTAGCCTCTTCATAAAAAAGATGTCCATCTCATTTATGGAAATGGCAACCCAGCTGAGCAAAGGGATGAACTTAATTGCTGTAGCACACTCTTTTTCCAATGAATAGCTCAATCCACTTGAAAAGCTAATAGAACGTGTTTTGCAGTCCATTATTCTTCTCCTCAGTAAGGAAACTGTATGCAAGCTTGTATTTCAGTACATCTGTCCATAAAGTCTTGCTGTGGGAAAACTAAATCCAATTGGCAGACATACTCAGCTGTGACTTACAGCTAGTATCACTTGCTAAATACTTATGAAAATATTACAAAGTCAAAAAACAGCAACACAACAGCAAAACAACAAGCTCTAAAAAATAAGTCTGTCCCATGCAAGGATTAAAATAAAATACTGAATGTACTGAATGCTTCAAAGTTGAAAGGGTTTCAGGTTCCCAAAATTCTACTCTAAATAAAGAACTATGGGAGTTTATGATCACTAATACTAAGCTACAGATAATGCATCTGGCCAGACAGAGATAAACAAGACCTGTTTACTTCTGTTGTAGAAATCTGCTGCCATTATATGGAATATTGCACTATTTTTACTGAACAGAGAACTGGTATGAATCTCAGTTCTTTCTCTGCACCACATCACCCCACTTCTCCTCCACTTTCCTAGAAAAACCTGGATGGCTGTTTTAAAGAATAAAGAAATAAATCAACACTCACTTCCCGTTGCTGAAATTTATTATATCTAATAAGCTTGCTAAAACTGCTGCTTTCCAAAAAGGGGAAGTTGCACAGAAATTTAGCATTCTTCTTAAATATGTTTTGATTGAATGTGGGATGAAGCTCCGACTTAGATACTCACTTCCTGCATACACTTTTAAAGAAGCAAATCAAGGGAATAAAAACTATCTCACACCTTTGCAGAGGTAAACCAGAAGGCTGGCTTATTATTAGCAGCTGTCCTGAATTACTACAGCATGCAGATCTTTTTCCACAAACACTAACACAAGCTGTAGGGTGGATGGTTGGACTTAATGATCTTGAAGGTCTTTTCCAACCTTGAAGATTCTATGATTCTCTAAGTAAATCTGTAGGTAACTGTAAGAGTGCAGAATCTATCTAGAAAATAATATATTACACACTCAGATTATATGCTTCCACAGATCTCCCATAAGTAGAATATCCACCATATAAAAAGGCTCTAAGTATTTATCAACTCTCACAAAAATTAGCAGCATTCTAACAGACTGATACGGCTATGTGGAAGACCAGCTCCTCTTGATACACT